AGCCCCTGCACTAGATTTTATGAGCTAAACACCTTGATGCTGCAGAGTCCTCACCTGTATTTGAAGAAACAAAAACTTTCCCCTGTAATTTCCTTCAAACTGAGCAGCTTCTATTGTAATCAGTGTGGGAGAAACAGTCTCTCAGATGGAATGCGGAGCCTGGAGAGGCAGGAGATAGGTGTGTGAAGGGAAACCCAGCCTCAGGCCAAGGTGCTGAATCATTCAGACAGGATTTCTTTAACTTGAAGCAAAGTAGCCCTTAGGGTGGGAGGAGATAAGAAGGTCCCCAGATTCTCCCTTCAGAGCTGGAATCTACATTCTATTTCAGAAGGGAATTTCCTGCATTTGAACACTTTCTTTTTGCAGCTGTACTTAGAAATTCAGCAGGGGGAGCTGACCAGAGCGAAGTAACTCCTCCAAGTATCTGCTGAGGTCGGGGCCTGAGCCGGAAGGCTGACTGCTTGTTTCCTTGCTGAGTGTCCGAGCGGCCACAAGATGGAGCACCATTTCCAATGAGTTGGTTTTCACTAGTGTGTGAGACAATTTGATGACTAAAGCCCACTGCTAGTGGCTTTGACCCCTCCTTCTCCACCCAGGTTAGAATTTACAGAACGTCAGCATCTACGTGAATGGGTGAATTCCAACCGCATGAAAGAAAAGGGACCCACGGTTAACTCGCCTAGTTTTATTTAAGTTATACCCAGGATACCATTCATGGGCACATAACCCAAAGGTACGTATCCTACTCTGTATCCTACTATAGAGACTTGCTCATCCATGTTCATGTAAGTGTGTGCGCCTGTGTCATGCAATGCCCACAGGGGTCAGAGGAGGACGCTGGATTCCCCTGGAACTGGAGTTACAGATGGTTGTTAGCTGCCATGTGGGTGCTGGGAATCAAACCCAGGTCCTCTGCAAGAGGAGCCAGTGCTCTTAACCACTCAGCCATCTCTCCAGCCCTGCTCATCCAAATTCAGTGCTCCTGTATTTGATGAGAATAAGAGATAGAAATTGGCTAGACAGTTTATTACAGTGAAAAGACCCAAAAAGAAAATGGTGTATTATTGTAACTGAATAAATTGCCATTTATTTGTTAGGAAAGAAGAGGGATGAAGACCAGGCTAGGCAGGGGAAGCCTGTGCCACAGATCACCTCTGTGGTCACTCAGCACCCTTCTGAGCTCTTCTTTCCAAACAGAAGTAGCTTCATTCTTCCCAAGGGCAGTGGCCTCAAAGTTTTATTTTGGAGTTTCAGATACAATCAAATGTGGCAAGAATGTTGGAGGGAAGTAAAATAGCAGAGCCCTCTTTCCATATGCATAAACTCAGACATTCTAAGCAAACCATGAACAAGAAACTATAACTATATACATTATAAAACGGTTGTGCGTGCTCTGTCCCAGGTTTGCAAGGATAATTAAACACTACGAGTTAGTCCATGGAAAAACGTGACATGATCAGGGCCAAGCAGTTAGATGGCTCGGTGGGTAAGAGTGCTTGTTACATAAGCAAAAACCCAAGTTAAATCCTCAGAACCAGCAAAAGGCCTAAGGTGTGCTAGTAAGTTCAGTGCTGTGAGGAGAGGAGACAGGAAGATCACTGGGGCTTGGTGGTCACCAGCCCAGCTCCAGGTATAGTGAGAGATCCTGTGTCAAGGGACTAGGGCAGAGGGTGATAGAGCAGAGCCCCCAAAGTCCTCCCCTGTACCCACAGATGGCCGTGTACATCCAGCACACACACACACACACACACACACACACACACACACACGCACACACACACTATGATATGATCATTGTAATGCATATAGAAAATGTGTGATAAAAATCCCACAGCCAGGGATGGAGAGTTGGTTCCCCGGTCAAGAGTGTGTCCTGCCCTTCCAAAGGGCCTGAGTTCAGGTCTCAACACACACAGGGCTGGTGGCTCACAACCACCTGTAGCTCCAGGTGACCCAATGCCTTCTTCTGGCCTCTTTGGGCACCGCACTCTGACACTCAAACATATACAAAATTAAAAATAAATATTTTTTAAAACCTAACAAACAGTCATGATTTTTTTTTAAAGAGAAGCAGTTTTTGCAAAGTGGGTTTAGAAGAAGACATCCATAGTTCAATAAGAAGAAATAGCCACACAAAAACCTTACAGAAAAATGTGATTTTGTTTGGTTTTACTGATTTATTCATTTTTATTTTGCACGTATGTATATATGGGGGGTGCACATGACTGCAGTACCCTCAGAATGCAGCAGAGAGTGTCAGATTCCCAGGACTTAAGGTCGTTATAGGCGGTTGTGAGATCCCTGATGTGAGCACTGGAAACTGAACTCAGGTCCTTTGGAAGAGCAGTTTGTACTTTTAGTTGCTGAGCCATCCCTCCACCCCCGTTGGTTTGTCTTTAATAAGAAAATATTTAACGTTTATTTTGCTCTGTTCAGCATCCACTCCAGTTGATGTAACCACAGTTTAGACAAAGAAAGCTCAACTAAAACACTGTTTCTTCTACATAGCTGGGATTCTCCGAGTGTTCTATCGTACACAATGACAGTCCCGACTTCTGTAAAGTTACCTGCCACAAACACACTTGGTTTTGAGCATCTACAATGATACACAATGGATAGGTGAGAACCTGCAGCCACACAGATTGTCCTGGTTAAAATCAGTAGGTCACAAAGTGAAACAAATGTGAAGAAGGGATTTGTAGGGAGGGGGGTGGGGGATGGCAGGAGGAGGAAGGAGAGGAGGGGGTGAGACACACAGGTGTGAAGTTACCAAGGAACAAATTTGTGACAAGATGGGGTCATATTAGGTGATGAGGAAAAACCAAATACAAGCAGAGGACACATGAGTCTTGGAAGAGGATATAAAGCTCGTTGTTTTTCTAGTTTTAACTCTGCCCTGGATTTTCCCTTTTTCCTGGTGGAGAAGTGCATAACAATGTCCTTGACAGTGAAAGTGTAAAACCCTAAACAAAGCTCCATAGTTTCAGATGGCCATTCTAACTGTATTAGAATGTTCGTTGAGATGTGTGGGGTTTGGGACAAGTGTTTGTTGAACGGGTACGTTCATGTAGCTGTGTGATGTTTTAATTTGTGTGTTCATCACCATAAAGTGGCTTTATATAAAAAACTAATTAATAAAAAGTATATGCAACCAGGGGCCTGGGCGTGGTGGCGCACGCCTTTAATCCCAGCACTCAGGAGGCAGAAGCAGGCGGATCTCTGTGAATTGGAGGCCAGCCTGGTCTCCATAGTGAATCCAGGCCGGCTGGGGCTACAGGGAGACCCTGTTTCAAAAAGACCAAAAAAGAAAAAGCATATGCAACGGTTAAAACAAAATTCTCTAATTTCCCTTAATAATGATCCCTCCTTACCACCAGGGAAAAAGGTATTAAACCTCTCTCACTTGAGAGAGAAAGAGAGAAAGAGAGAGAGAGAGAGAGAGAGAGATTGATTTTGGCGTTCTTTACAGTAGCAGTTGCTCTAACACAGGACAGGAAACAGTGATGGAGGAGGGGCCCATCTGTCATGTTGCCTAGCGATGTATGCTGTGTCTAGAGGACCAAATCAGGGGACACGCTGGTCTTTCTACCACCTCGCCCTTCTCTGTCCCTCTGTCTCGTCTGTTACAGTATGTTTGACTTTCCATCTCTTGTACCATAGACATTGTATGTTACGGCTGTTCCCCCTTAAATCCACTTTTCCCTCCTCTGCCCATGCCTCATACCTAGAGTTTTTACTTTAATATATA